GAGTTCTATTTTCTGCGCGACTAGTCCGCGGTAAGGCGACTTTTCGGGTCGCACCTCTTTCTCGCGCTCTTTTTTCGGCATTTTCCGCCCGTTTTTCAGCTTTATCCGGCAACTCGATAAATTTAACAACGGTAAAAGCCGGAATTCGCCGCAGTTTTCCTATTTGTCTGCAAATTCGCCCGGTTTCCACGCAACCGGACTGGTGTATGTTTTATTTACTAGGTAGATTCATCTAGTAAATATCCTTTTATTGTAGCTCAAATTAGATAATAAAGTATTTGTGAGACTACATGATATTCTATTAACAAATTAATTAACGTAGTTAATAACGTAGTTAGTAACGTAGTTAATTAATTTGTTACTAACTACGTTACTAACTACGTACGTAGAGTAAAATAAATTTGTTATTTATTATAAGTTAAAATGTGTCATTAAAATTACGTAATTCGCTTTTTTTTCCGAAAACGATAAAGAAAAATTTTCATATTGGAACAGGATATTTTTTTGTATCTTTTACAATCAGATGGATTTTAATGTAATATTCGTATTCATTATCATTACAATATTAAATATATACATATTATCGCATGTCTATAAAAAAGTGACAAGTCGAAATTTTTCAAATTTCGTACTGTGTGAGAATTGTGTTCTAAATACGTCGGTTTTCAATCAAGAAAAATGATATACAGTGAGTGCAAAAAGTATTCGTACAAAGAAATTTGTTATAAAATAAGTCTTATTTTTAGAAAATAAACATTAATTAGCAATTTTATACAAAATACAATACATTCTGTTCTGACATAAATAAACGAGCTTCGCATGTATTCCTGATTTTAGTAGCTAAATTTCTCGACTGTACGAATACTTTTTGTGAGCTAAACAATACAATTTTTAATTTTTGCTTATTTTTCAGATGATATATTTTCTATAATTAATACACATCTTTTTTATATAATTTTAAGAAGCATGCAGTCTATTTTATTCTTTATGAATAAATAAAATAATTACCCATCAAGAAAGGATCGTCAATTAAACGTCTAATCGACATCAAATTAGTGTTGAAATCATTGTATCGATATGATTTCATTGTATCGATATATTGTATTTGACATCAATTCGCTGACTCATTTCTCGTTGGATAATATAATATTTACTTTTTAAAAATAAAGTTTTTTTAAAAAATATTTTCTTTGTGGTAAATATTTTCTTACGAATACATTTTGCACTCATTGTAAATTGAATTTAAATATTTCCTAAAGAAAAATAACACAATGATAAAATAACACAAATTAAAATAGTTATATAATTTTTAAGGGTAACATAATGTAACAAAATTGATATCTGCATTACTTGTAGAGAACTTGAAACAAGTAATTTTGTGATTTTTTAGCTCTAAATTAACTTATATTTAATATTACTATAATAAATAATTAATTTTAAAATACACAATTTTCTCTTCTTTCTCCTGAACAATTTTATATTTTTGACTTGTATCTATAAGATAGATAACGCACACATACACAAATTTTTTTTAATGAAATAGCCTGTGACTCTGTAACTATAAATTAGGATATAATAAGAAAAAGATTATATAATCAAAATTATATATTTTATTGCTATAGTTTACACAATTAATTATTAAAAGCGAATATAAATTATAAAACGATAAAGATTCGACGGTTGTTTAAATAAAACGAAAACGATATTGTCGACGAAATTGTGTGAATTGCGCTAAATCGCGATTTTTAACACATTCCACTCTGCTAAACATTTCGCGTCAGATCCAATAAAACAGCGCAGTGAAGGGACCAGACGACAGCTTCCTAAAGCAGTGGACTATTTGTCAGATGTGGTCCACAGGGATAAAGTGGGGCGTTAGGTCGTACGTTCGCCGACTGAGAGAAACGTATCTCGATTCTTCGCACCGACTTCTCGACAGCCGCTGAAAATTCAGAAAAATTACGTTGGTGTCCGATTTCCCCCAAATCGGACATAATTCTTCTACGTCTTTCTTTATTTATTGCGGTCGTCAGTGACAACCATCATTCCTATCAATGGCTGTGTTCAGCAGAGAAAACTAATCAATAGCACTTATTATTGTTAGTGATTTTTTAATATGATTGGTTCTTGCCTTTAGTTCTTTCACTAAACGTTAACTGATTAATTTTCTCTGTTGAATGCAAATTTTTTAAATTATTTTTTAATTATCGTGAAACATATAATCGATTTCGCTCTCTCGCCATGTGTACCCCATTGTAATCGTAAAATGCGACATAACGAGTACCGCCCGATATTCAATCTTATTTTTCATAGAGCTCGTAATTTCATAACAACGTGCACCGCCGGTTTTTATTTTCACAGGACTTTTTTGCCGGACTCTTCACCTCTCTCCTTCTCTCTCATCGTCCAGCGAAAGGCTCTCCTATCTCGCGCGATCATTTTTGCACTGGCTGCGAAATAACGCGTCGCCGCGCGTGTATTTTCATTTCTCGTCGCCGGCGCCTCGCGCGAACCGTACAGCTGTTTACAGCGGCCATTTGTCCGGGGTAACGTTCGGCGCGTGTTATACGTGCCATTTATTTTCGCGAAGCACGGCTCGCCGCACTTCCTGTAACGGCTCCACTCCGGTAATTCCGTAGAATAGACGTCGCCGTTACAATTAGAGAAAAGCAGCAATATTTTGTGATTGTGCCCGATCTATTTTTCACCTACGCGCGATTTTCTTTTGATCCGTTCGATTCAAAGTTTTATAATTATCTTTGTCACGCGTGTAAAAAACGTTTGTGTGTTTCATTGGAAACTTATCTTTAAAACTACCTTCCAATTTTATTCCTTCAATCAAAGGCTGCAGCAGTTTGTACATTTTTTCATTTGTTTATTAAAATATACAAGTTACACGAGAGAAAGAGAGAGAGAGAGAGAGATTGCATGCGTATATACTACATGTAAGATGCGTTTAAAAAAATTAATCTGTTTTACAAAGGATTAAAAGAAACCAATCGGGAAATATATATAGATATCTATGTAATGCGTAATGTATTTTCTGTGTTCTTCTTATGGTCAGTCCTTTGTCGACAAGTATAAGAAAAATATAAATATATAGAAAAATGTAGAGAGAATACAGTATATCATAATTTTTTCTGATATCTTTATATGTAATAATAACAGCATAAAAATATAAAGTTACTTCGTATTTCAGTGTTTCGTTGAACGGTTTGCAATGCAGGAATAATAAGAACGCTAAATTAAAAAATTAATGATGAAAAATTATAAAATGTATGTTAATTAATGCATAAATTAATATCATGAATAATGATGAAAAGAAATTTATTAAAATAAGATATGTGTTGTATGAAATAACAGAACTGTAGGCAGAATCTGTTAAATTTATAATGTGAAATTACGAATACCTAAGAGTTATTTTTAACTATTTATATAAGTCACCATTGTTTCTATTCAATACGTCCTTTATTTTAACTAAAACAATATATAAAATTAAACAACTTAACTCAAGAAAATATATTAAATTTGATTGAAATTTAGTTATTATTTACTAAGCGCATACGTTAATACGGACATTGTTTACTTTGAAACTAACTACGGAAATGAATTGATTTACATTTTGACATATATGGAAGTTAAATAGAGTCCGACCGAAACTTTTGTCGAAATTGTACCGAAACACTCGGCTATATGTCAATTTCAATCGAAACCGAAATCAAAATTAAAAAATAAGAATCCTAAAGACCATGTGTATAAATATGTTCATATATATCATATTTTCTTCATAAATATCTTTCTTTATAATTTATTGAAACAATAATTAAATTTCGGCCGAAATCGAAAACCGAAATTTCGGTTGTGTCAATTTTGGCCAAAGAATATAAGTACTTCTTCTTCATAATTTAATTATTGAAACAATAATTACATATATTAAAATTACTATTTATGAAGAATAGTTACATGGTTTCAGTCGAAACTGATACGTAATGAGTGATCGTTTTCAGTTCCAGTAAAAGTTTCGGTCGGACTCTAAAATTAAAATTAACAAAATATTATTTAACTCAAGGGATTGAGTTGCACCATGTATATTGCTCTTTTAATATCTAACGGTATAGAGTACAATTACGATGTATCTTGTATTTCTCTATTTTGATCTCATACATATTTCGTTTAAAAAAATTATAAAAGTTCTTTTAGACAATTTTTATAATTTAAATTTTAAGATAAAACATAGATACATATAATTATTTAACACACAAGATACTCGTATATAATTTTATATATCTTGTGAGATATACACTTCTCTTATAAATTTGTGTATGTATATAAATATGTAAATTTTATATACATATGTGTATACATATATGTATACACATACGATCGATGAATATCGTAATTTTACAAAACTTAAGCGTTAAATACTTCGGAGGATGTATTTTTCGTTTGATTTTTGACTGCGTCATTTTATGTAACCTCAGTAACTTAAGGTCGGTGTTTAAAATGTGGTCAGCAACCCACATTTCATATTTTCCCATTGGTATTTTAGATATTATCTGCGAATTTTGTATGTATATGTATTGCAAACTGGCACGTGAACTATCACGCGAGCTCTCTCCGCAAGCTCGTTCCCCTTCGTCCTTCTAGTTCCAACATGCCCCTTCGAACCCCGTTCTCTTTTTATCTTTGACCTCGGCCTGAACTTCGAGAATACAGATTACGCGTTCTTATTTTACCAGGCAACCCTGAATTTCGTGCACGTGACGAGTGATCGTTCGTCATATTCTCCGTTCTTGCATACGTATACATACCGACAGCTTTCCTACCGAATCAATCGAACTGCATTTTGGCGCAAAACGCCACTTACCCTTAATTCCGTGACGATGTGAAAATAATGGCCTTCAACGAGTCTATATGCTTATATGCCCCGTTATATCCCAAAATAAATCTTAACTGTATAAAATCGATCTTTCCTAACATGTCAACTTTCTTATTTTTAGGATGATCCCCGCATAATGAAAGTTGGAGACAAGAAACGTTGGATACACGACCCGAATAGTAAGTGATATGTTGTCGAAAATATCTGTTTAAATAAGTCTTGAATGTGTGTGTGTGTGTGTGTGTGTGTGTGTGTGTGTGTGTGTGTGTGTGCATGCTTTATAATTTTTAAAAGCTTATATAAACATTTTTAGCTTTTAATGGATGTCTTTAATTACTAGGTAATTTGTAGAATTTTTAAATTATTTCTTTATAGCTGGTAATAACTTTCTTATCTTATTTTTATGTTATTTAATAATAATAGTTATTTAATAGTAGACATAATAATAAGAGCAAATTATTTTTAAACCATTCACGTGATCCTTTCGTACCTCTAGGACATATATGTTCCACTTACGGAAAAAGTATAATTTTTAAACAGTCTTATCAATTTCTATCCTGCGGCTTGTTTTAAAGAGGAAGGTTCAAGCTATATGTAAAAAGAATCGCACACTTTTTGAAATGTACTATTCTCAATAAAATATATAGTTATAGATACTACCAATTTTACCAGCAATTAAAGATTAGGCGTAATTCTTCTTTAACAAATACTTCTGGTAATTGGTCAAATACATGCAACGATACTAAAGTTTTGCTGATCAGATTTTGTTTCGTCTATTTCAATGTATGACGGGTAAGTGAAACATTTAACGTGCTATGTTCATCATATCGTGCGATATTCGCATGGATAATTGTCACTGATTCGCCGATCGAATTGTGTTATAGCGCGTCAAATGAATTTCACGCGGTATGTATTCCCTCGAGTATGAATTATCAGGTGGGATGTCATCGCCCGCCTTTCGAATGCTTCGCGATTTTTTATCCCCGCTGGTTGATGTACGCTCGCGAACTTTTCGCGTTGGGAGGATCGTAAAGCCGGATGTACGTACGACCGGTATGAATTCGAATGGAATCTCTCCGCCCGCGCCTGTTGACTGGTTCGCTCGGCGAAATGTGATATTTATCACGAACGTTGCCGCTAAATTCCCCAGAAAATTCCAAATATATATACTTCATGAACGCAAGTCGCGCGCGGTCGAATATATCGTGAAAATCTGAAGTAAAAGCCAGAACGACAGACGGTTGTGAAAATGACGTGAACATTCCCGGTAAGAATATCACGCAGTGCGAATGATGTGCCTGAATAAATATTATTTATTCCATTTTCTTATAAATATTGCATGGAATTTCAAGGTAGAATTATTGAGTTTGATGTTTCAAGAATATTATTTGTCCTAGATATACATTAAAATTAATGTATTATTATAATATTTACATACGAAATTATTAGAAACCGTGATGGAAAATCACAATTGAGAATTTTTTTATTTCTTATTTATTTAACATTAAATATAGGTACTTTAAAAAAGTGAATACATAGATTGTACTTGAAAAAAGTTGTAATAGAAAATAATCAAATTAGATGATGTGTTCACGAATTCAAAACATTATTTTACATACAGACATTGAAATCTATTGATGAGTAAATGAAAGACAATTGCGTCGAACGGATTTAATGCCAATAGTAAAAAAGATGGTATTTACATGTCGCCTTTTTAAACGTTTCCAGTTTGAATAGTGTCGTCGTTTAAAACATTGTTGGAATCATTCCGCTAAAGATTTGTGTATAAAAAATATTATATGGTGCGCCGTTAGTAGGAATAGCAGGACGAATTTATTAATAAAAAATATAATCCTATTGTAATGCAGATATATGCTGAGAAAAATGGAGGCTAAATGTATAGAGGATGCACGCAGTTGGATGCAGTTTATTCTAGTTTTTGCTACAATATTTCTTTACATTTTCCTTTTTTTTCTTTTCCTTTCAACTCTTTTCAATTCGGCTGTGGCGCATCATGTATCACTCGAATGCTTATTCTTTTTAACTGATAAATGTTATTCTTTTTAATTCCCTTGTATATGTCTCATAATTTGTGCATTAGGCAATTATATACATATCTCTACTTGCACGTTTAATTATAATTACCTCTCATAATCAATTCAAATCAATCAGTTATAAAATATCTCACAATCAGTGAAGCTATAGCATCTCATTTTCAGAATTTTGATATAATTGTTGATTAATTCTATAAAGAAAACATATAATTTATAGATATCCCATAACTTCTATTTATTTACGCTCAGTTGTCAAAACTCATCTCTAGGCTTATTAGGAACTTTATAATTTTCTGAAAAGAAGTGTTGGATAAAGCAACATACACTACTGCTCAAAATATTTGTAGTATCTCTAAATTTTGAAAGAAGGTTTAATCAACTTTATTTATTAACATTATAAATGTTCATTTTCTTTCAATGCGTAAAAATTCATATTGTTTCAATCAGACATTTTATTTCAATAGTGTACGCGCGTTTAAATAAAAATTAATATTTTCGAAATAATTATGTCTGTAAAGAATCGTGTTTTGATCTGAAAATTATATTATATAAAATGCTCCAAACTTTTAAGCAGTAGTATATTATACGATGAGCTTACTGTAAATTAATTTTGCATTTCTTTGTTTAAAAATTCGTTTAGAATTCGTCTAAATGTTGCATTATGCATATTTATTAATATGTACATAATTATAATTGATATTATATATTATACTATATAATATATAAAGTGCACAACATGACATGAAACTATTGATACAATCGCCAATGCTTGTCATAATCAAGTGAATAATTCTGTTTATCATAATTAATAATGGGCGAATATTGTATGAATGCCAAAACATGAATGTTACTGCAATCTAATCATGATGATCTAACAAGATTACAAACGTACTATGTTGATGAAAATATATTTGTTTTGAAAAATATATTTATTTTAAATTTGAAGGCACATAAAAATCAAAATTATTTTATAAAATACAATGTATAAAATATTAAGGCTTTAAAGATATAAATCAAGAAATAATAAAATATAATGTAAGCCAATCCCGACTAGAAATTTATTCAGTGGTCCTAGCTAGGTTGACCTTATTAACCATCAGGTCCTGTTAAGGTAAGGTTTATTGGGACCTGATCAATCATGTAACGCAGCACATTAGGCAGGACCTTATCGGGATAGCCTTATCAGGTTTATATCGGGTTCATTATTAAATCCTTATTAACGCGCCACAGCATACCCGATTAGAAATTTATCCAAGGATTTTAGCAGATCCTAATCAGGTTGACTTGGCTAGGACCTGCTAAAATCACTGGATAAATTTTTAAGTCGAGTTCAAATGCTATTAATTTAGCATCACATTCCAAAAGAAGCAAAAAACATATATTTCAGAGGCCCAGAAGACATACTCTGAAGGAACTTTATAATCTCTCTAAGAGATTATCCAAATTGATTTGCCTACGCCTTCTTATAGAACTTGTAGACATTTTCTTCTTACGAGTAACACGTCCATCTCGTGGCGTGGCTGCGTACTAGAAACGAGATCAACCATACTCAAACCTGACGAGGATTTTCTTAGATGTACCTTATTCAGGATTATCTTAGGTCAACCAAACTAGGTCCTTATAACATATAAAGCAATTATAACCTTACCAAGGCCAACCATATTCAAACCTGACGAGAACCCCCTTAGGTGTACCTTATTCAGAATTATCTTAGGTCAACCAAACCAGGTCCTTATAACATATAAGGTAATTATAACCTTACAAAGGTCAACCATACTCAAACCTGACGAGAACCTTCTCAGGTGTACCTTACCTTAGGTCAACCAAACCAGGTCCTTGTAAAATATAAGGTAAACCTGACAGTATCCGAACGTAGATTCTAGTCGGGATGTAACCCGACAAAGAGTAATGTAATAGAGTGTAATAATTTATATATAAATAATAATAAATGACAAAATGACAAACGTTTCGACTCCAATTTGGGTCCTCTTCAGTGTAAAACAAAAAGATTTACAAATTAATTAGAGAGCATTGCAATACAATGAAAAAGTACAATCAAAGTGCTTAATAGTAGAGCACGGAGATATATCACATGTTTAAAGTCTATATGAAAGTCCAACAATAAAATTATCAACCGTCAATAGTATTTGGCAGAATACATTATTTCGATAGTTAGATATTAAAAATAAAAATTCCTTATTGAGTTATCCGATCAAAGCGCACGCATGCGCATAATAAAGCGTTTGTTATAAGATATTATTTACTAATGGTTTTTATTTTATAAAAAATAATTTTTAAGTAATTCGTCTTAAAGCGATTTTGTACTTTTATATGCATATTTCAGTACTACAGAGTTCACCAAATTCATCGCGTGAAAAAAAGATCCTTAGGAAAAAGAAAGTAGGTATGTAAAATAAGTTACGAGACAGTTTCTATGACAGTGACAATATTTATTTATACCATCAACGCTTCGAGTAAAGTCGTCGCTTCCTAATAATTTTTTATGTGAACGTTGGCGATTGGGTGAGGGAATTTTTAAGAGCTACAGCCGTTTAATAGCACGATGATGAGGATATCTTAAACTTGATGTGCACCTCCATTTTTTCCAATTTTCTTTTTCCGGACTATACTAGCACACGTGCGTTATAGCAAATTTTCAAGTAAAGTCAAGCTATGAAGGTCGTAGTAACGACGATAGGTTTCATTTCACACCTCTTAACGTGAAATAGTTTAAGGTACGGCGGAAGCTGAACGACGGAAAGGATAAAACGAGTCGGGTCACGTATTTAATACCCCTTTCCACGGAATCCTCTCCCATGCTCGATTTTGTGATGTTATCCGAGTTGATCGCCGTTTTCCTTCGGGCGACGAGGCAGGTAGTACACGTTGCATCTTTAATTCTTAAGAGTTGATCGATGTTCCATCGGCAACACGTGACCGTTTTCTTTAAGAATAGCACAATTTTCTTTTGTTATTGAGACATTATTCTCCGGAATTTCGTATAGACGATGTTTCTGTATCGTAGTGTGTATTATTTATTATGAATTTGCTGCATAACAAATTTAATGATGGAAAAGTTATTATACAATGTTTTTTACAATTATACAATTATACAATTAATATAA